TAGTCATGTCACCTCTAATTTTGTAGATCTTTTCAAATACGTAGTAGTTTTTAAATATATAATTTTTATTTTTTAATTCCATAAGAATTTTCATATAAAATAATTTGAAAAAAAATTCAATTAAATATTATGACATATAAAGGAAATATTATTATTGGATGTAGGGAATACATATATACGAGGAATTAGAGACGTAAACAAATCAAATACTTTTAATTCGATTCGTGATTTGTATTCGAATATATTGATTCGAATCCGCATTATTCAAATACAAATTCAAATTTCAGTTTTGATTCGAATATTAAACAAATACAAATACAAATAGGAGCATATTCGATATTCAAAATTTTGAATATATGTATATACACATAAACTATGTTTCAACATCAATATAATCAAGCAAAGTAATATAGTATAAAATGTATTTAAATTATTAAGAATTCAACAAATTAACGTAACACCAAAATCTAAAGCATATGATTTTTAACAGTTATATTTTATAAAATACTCCCTCTGTCCTAGAAAACCTTTCTCCTTTCTTTTTTCATCCGTCCCAAAAACCTTTCTCATTTCTATTAAAAAATCACTTTTACCCCTTACATTTTCTGGGGAGGAAAGATCTATTTACAAGTGGTCAATCGGTTAGATTATATTCTTCTTGAGAGGGAATGTTAAATATCTTACATCGCAAAAGTGAAAAGAAAATAATGAGCGTATATGATCTTGAATTAAACTAAATAATCTTGACTATTCTCTTACGAACTTGTTTGTGACTCCCTGGAGGGAAGGGATTGAATATTAATGTTTTGCTCTTTCTCATAAAACTATTTTTTTTTTTGAATTAATGAGTAATGGAGTGCATGCAGTTTTTGAAATTTGTTTACTTCTACGGAGTAATAAATATTATCTTCACAACCATTTTATAAAGTAAAATTTGCACTAAATAGGACTAAAACATAATGACTTTTTCAATGTAGGACTTAAATTTTTTTATTCTCTAAATAGGACTTAATAATGACCTCGTGGGAGGAATAATGTCCAGTAATGATAGATATTTACTTGAATAATGACTACTTGATAATGATCAAAAGTCCTACATTGGAAAATAAAAACATATGGTCCTATATTGGGAAAGTCATTATGTTTTAGTCCTATTTAAGTAAATTTCTCGGGTAAAAATAAGGAAAGTGTAAGTTTGGTTGACTTTCCAATTTTGTCCCTGATGTGATGGGTAAAAGTAAGATGTGATAGTTTGGTTATTAGGGAAAAAGTATGATGTGATAGGTAGGGTATGAAAAAGTAAGGGTAAAAGTGGTTTTTTAATAGAAAATGGAAGTGTTTTGTTGGAAGTTAAAAAAATGAAAGAGGAAGTGTTTTTTAGAACAAAGAGAGTATAAAAGATTGTGAAATTTAGAATATAAAATCAAAACATTTTTTAGTTAAGAACTCAAAAAAAAAAGCATATATACATACCTATGAAATCGAGGATGAGTCGGCCATCGGAGCAGCGGCCAGTGGGATGGCCAAAGAAGGTTTCGCCGTACGGAGAAAAGTACATGTGGGGGACCTTGCCGCCGGTCTGGAGGTGGATCAGGTTTCCGGCGTCGGTGAGGGAGTCGCCGAAGCCAAAGATGGCCGTGTAGCATGCGGCGGCGCCGCCGGTTATACACGACGCTAGTAATAGAACGGGAACATAAGAATAGGAGAAACGAGCCATAAAGATGACTTTGAACGCCAAGCAAAATTGAATTTTTGCGGAGTGCGTTGGCATTTATAGCTATGTGAGGAGTCATGTGGGCAATAGATGGGAGAATCCGGTATGTATAGACAAAATATTGACCCGACCTCTTTTTTATCCAAGAATCATATTCGAAAATATTAGATTTTGAAACAAAGGTTTTGATAACGGAACCTCCTGAAGTTGTCGAATTGGAATTGACCGGCTAAAAATGAGTCAAATCCAATCGAACTCGAATATGACCTGACCGACTGGCTAATGTAAGAGTTTTTCAATATCGTATATTTAACTACTCATTCTTAGTGTGTATATTTATATTTTCGAACAAAATTTTAATAATATTACATAAATATCTTACTCTTTCTAAAAGTTGCTGTATATTTTTTGATTCTTTATATTGATTTATATATTTAAAAATTACTTCAGAATTTAAAATAATATAATCTAATAAATTTAATATGTAATACATGTTTTTTGATATTTTAAATTTATTTAATACAAAATGTAAGTGTTAATGTGAATTTAAAAACTTTAAAGTAAAAGTAATAACACATTGGGTCAATTCGAACCCGATGACTTTTGGTCAGGAACATACAGTTCTCAACCGAATCCAAAGTAAACCAAATTCTAAGAGACAGAACCTGAACATGACCAGACCGGCCGATTTGCCAGCTCTAGCAGTGCCAGTGAGCATTATAACCGAGCCAACCGCAAAACCGGTAACCGTAGCCTGAATTAATTGAAAGTCTTGTTTCCAATTCGGTCTCGATCAGACTTACCAAAATTAATTGATTAGATTGGTTTTTTTCAGTCGAGTTTCGATCACGAACTTATGAGACCCGAAGCGACTAAATAACCGATCCTAGCCCATATTATTAGAGAGAGAAACCATTTATTGTTAAATACTGAGTGTGTGTTTCGTGAGCAAACAAGATATGAATTTTGATTTCTTCATATATCAAAGTCTTTTTTTGATTTTTTGTAAAGTCAAAAGAGATATCGAATTCGATATCTCCAGATATCATAAATCCTTCAGATGAAGTTTTTTTAATATCTCTTGAATTTGGGAGATATCAATATGTGAGTGTGATATTTTTCTAAACCGTTGTTCAATCCTCTGCCACCAGCTACCAATGTCACCGCCAACCACCTCCGTTGTTGATCACTCCTGCTTATCACTAATTAAATCATGATTTTAAATCTTTCAAAATAAATTCATTTCATATTTTAAAATTCATATCATGTATCATAAATTTCACAACTCATATCTTATCATATCTCTAAAACTTACCAAACGATGTCTTAATAAATCTATTAGTGCAGCTCAGCCTAGCCCAACCATTAACCCCCATTCGGCCATTCCTCATCAATTCATCTTCTACGGTTCTACCCAATCAATCTATTCTCAGTTGGTAGAAGGCCGCCGCCACTTCTTTCCGCGTCCGCCATCCGAGTGCCGCCACCGCTCCATTCCTCGGCGGCGCCATCTCCATCGCTGCGTCTCCTCCTCCTCACCGGCCTTGGCGACTCGTCCCACTACAGGGTCCGCATAGGAGCGCACACCTTCATCTATTAATGTTCTATTCAAACAAGTGATATGCCAGTTCCGGTTCATTTGCTATACAAAAAAAAGTGACATGGTTCATTTGCTATATGGTTTTCTAAAATTCCAATTCATTTGCAATTGTAGTTCATTTGCAATTGTAGTTCATTTGGCAGTGATAACTAGATTGGGTAATAAGACGCTTGAGAATAAACACATTAAAAAATTGAATTCAATCGATTACTTAGTTTAACTCAAGAGCTTATATACCGAATTATTATCGATTATTTTTACTCTCGAACTTCCGATGCAGGATGCACTCTAACACTCCCCCTCAAAAGGACAACCGGACCATTTTGAATCTAACCGGTTGACCACATGAAAATAAACTCCCATTTTCTTGACTCTTTTTGAGTGCCAACACCTAAAGGGTCACGAGTCGCTGAGTATGGACTTCCAGACGAGCAATCGTGTTAGACGAGCCACATGCCGTTGGATACATATTTCATACGGACAACTAGGCTAAAGACTAACAGGCCGCTAGGAATGAACGTCGTCTAGACGGACACCTTGACACACAAGGTGGGCCAAAACCTACTCTGATACCATGATAGAATTTAGGATTGAGTAGAGATAACTGGATTGGGTAATAAGACACTTGAGAAGAACCACATTAAAAGATTGAATCTAATCAATTACTTAGTTTAATTCAAGAGCTTATATACCAATTATTTTTACTCTTGAATTTCCGATACGGGATGCACTCTAACAGTTTCAGTTATTTTGGTGTTTGGTTGTTGACTGTTTTTTTAGAATATTATTATAAATTAATACTCCGATTCATGGTCACCCTCAATTCTTGATTAGTTTGATATAATCTCAACTACTTCTTTGGTCTCCAATGTGATTACAATTTTTATTTCTCTCCTCTCGATAACTTTTGTTTGGTTATGCAATTTCATTAAATATTTGATAGAATAAAATATTCTTTTCACCTTTTTGTAGAACTTTTGATGTAATTTTTTAACATGTAGTTTTTTTTTATTTCTTATCGATATATTGATTTATAAATAATATAATTTCAAAAGGTGAAGTATTTCTCCTCGCAAATCCCAATTTGGGGACGGAGGGAGTATAACGGGAGTAAATAGCAGTGCTATTTTTTCAAGTCAAAGTGGATGAATTTTGGATTTTAATTAAATAAAAATTATAATGTATTTGTAATATAAAAATGATATAATTAAATTTACTTATCGAGAACTTCTAAAATTAGATTTCATTGAATTAAAATACATAGTACAATGCAAATTGAAAGTATTTAATAAATAAAGTTTATTTGGTTAAACTTGAAAATGTCGAACTAGACAACCACACTAGAATAGAGAGTATGTTTTATGAAATCTAAAACATAAGTGTTTGAAAATAGCTATAAGCTTAATCTTATTATGAGTCCATTAATAGTCCATTATTACTAAGTCCTAATACATATCCTAAAGCTCCCCACAAATTGATCGAGAATGAAGATAATGTATGAACAATGGGAGGAATAAAGCTAGAATTAGAAAATAAAACAACTCGATAAAAAACTCGGACAAAATTTTAATTTTTTACGCCAACAACAGATGAAGGCGGCTGATCGAGCAAACGACCAACATTAATGACCAATGACTACCACATGGTTTCACATGGATGACTAACAAGTATCCCAAACATAGACATATCGGACTGAGATGCGACCATGTGACATGCCCTATATATAAACTAACATGTTGAACATACGATCACTTGGATTTAAACATACCAAAAAGCAACAAAAAACAATGTTATAAAAAGCGCCATCAAGACCGGCGCTCTTTATATATAAAAACTTCTTCTTCCGCGGGTGGCGGTGACCAGCAACTGCACCGGTGACAAGGTTAATATATAAGTTGTTTTGAACAATTCACTTCATCAGCTGAAGAACACACACGCCACTTGATTGCAGCTACTTGAGAACCAATACTGCCATGACAATTTCCAATTTTGTTCATCTACTAGATGCAATTTCTAATTAACTAGTATCACACCCGTGAGTTGCACGGGTCATAGTTATGGTACTAACTTGAGATCATTTTTAAGAATATAAATTGGTATATAATGGAATATAGAGATTTCATTATTTTAAAGTACAAAAGTAAAATGATTTACAAATTTCAAAAGACTTCTTTATAAACTACATCACTCGTATGTATAATTTGTGTGAGCATTCACTTCGTTGTATATCAGAATCTTCAAGCCATTGTGATTTATTACTCTTTAAACTGCAACATACACTTTCTCATGACTAAATACCAGTTTTCGTAACAATAATTCAATATGTTTCAGATAATGTTCTTGATAATAATTCAATAATTTGACTTATCTAAGTAATAATTCAACATATTAGTGTATTTATTTTGGAATTTGTTTTTTTTTAGTTTTATTTTCGTATTTAAGTGGTACCATTAACTTACCCTATGGTATTTATTTTCTATTTTATTTTAGATCACTTACCATTTTTACACGTATCCATGCTTGTAAATTATAGTATTAATAGTATTTATTTTAGAATACTTATACAATTGTTACATGTTTCCATTCTTATAGTATTAATAGTATTAATTTATAATTTTTTAATTTTTGCATTTAAATGGTACCATTTGCTTAATGTACCATATTAATTTTTAAATTTATTTTAATAACACTTATCATTTTTACATGTTACCATGCTTGTAAATTGTAGTATTAATTTATAGTATTATTTTGTAGTTTTCTATTTTATTTTTTTTTATTTAAATGGTATCATTTATTTACCGTATCGTATCTATTTTCTAATATATTTTAGAATACTTATCGTTTTAATAATTATTTTATTTTCTAATTTATTTAGAACACTTAACTAATTTATTTTAGAACACTTACCATTTATTTTATTTTGTGTTTAAATGGTACCATTTGCTTATCGCGGTGACATACCATTCCATATTTATTTTCTAATTTTCTAATTTGAACACTTACCTTTTAAAAAAATCATGTTTTTAAAGTATAGTATTAATATTAATTTTGTAGTTTTTTATTTTATTTTCGTATTTAAATCGTACTAATTAAGTACAATTTTTTTCTCTCCTCTCGATAACTTTTGTTTGTTTACGCGATTTCATTAAGTATTTGATAAAATAAAATATTCTTATTAGTTCTTGTTTTGTAGAACTTTTGACGTAGTTGTTTAATATGTAATTTTTATATGGGAGAAAGACCAAAGTAGGACTAAAACATTGAAAAAATACCAAAATAGGACTTCCATGTTTTTATTCCCGAAATAGGACTTACATTACCATACATAATCATATACATTACCAAAAAAGTATAGTAATTTGCACATGTACACTGTCACATTACCACAGGACAAAGTCACATTACTACAGTGCAAAGTCTTATTTCGGGAAAAAAACATGAAAGTCCTATTTTAGTATTTTTCTCTATGTTTTAGTCCTATTTAGGG